CTTTCCCTTTGTCCCCATTTCGGTGTCCAGGATCACTTTCTCTTTGATAAGCCAGTCTCCCCTTTGCTAACATGTGCTGGGATGGCACGTGACTGGCCAGATGCCAGAGGAATCTGGTATGTTGTGTGACGTGCAGCAGCTTGTGTCGTGTTTTAAAGATTGTGTTACAAATCTCCTTGCTTGGCTTAACCTTGCAGCCACTCTGTTCCTATACTCACAGAATGTTCAGTTTGTTTTTTAAAAAGTTTTCTCGCTTAATTTTGAAAAATAAAACAAACAAACAAAAAAACCCCAAACCCAAACCAAAACCCAACCAAGCAACCAAGCAAAATTCATTAGTAAATAACAGAATGGGTAAGACCTTTTATATGAAAGACGCTAATATCATGCACAGGACACAACATCATAGGTATAGCTCTTTCTTTGGGTTTTTATCTCAGTTTTTTCTATTTCTAAATAAAAGTTTGATTTGGGAAAGAGCCCACAAGTCATGCTCACGCATCTCTATCACCAGATCGTAGCCATGCTGTCAGCTAGGTACCACCAGCCATACAGCTGCAGAACACTGCACTGCAAATTCCTACCCCCCATGAAGTGTTATTTTAATTCCCAGAGCTGAAAGTAACCCTTTCTTTCCAAATGAACTGGAAAAAGGGGGATACAGAAGTTGAATTTCCTATTTTGTTCTAGGTCTGCTTCTACTTTCACAGCGCACTTGAGGTATTTTATGCCCAAATACGTAATTTTCTGTGGAGAGAAAGGGATACTAGCTCTGAGCTCAGAGCAGAGGATGGGGCAGCTGTGCAGTGCACAGCATCTGCATCTACCCCAGTATAGTTCTAGGCATTACCAGTGCTTTAATTGTGAAACATAAGGCTAAAAAGGATGCTGAGGAATCACCTAGCACATCTCCCTGCCCTAGGCAGGCTCAAGACTTTCAGAAAGGACAGGACTTTATGTGGAAAAAAACCCCAGCTGTTATCCAAGCAGTGTCTGACAATACTGGCTCATGTTCAGAAGCATAGGCAGTATTACTGTGATGAGCTAAACACGGTTTCTGCTGGGGAGCAGGCACTGTGAAAGCTGATCACCCGTGAAACCTGACAACCTGCTGGAAATCTGTGAGGATTTTTTTATTTCAACAAGCTTCAGCTTAGTTCCCTGGTCCCCATCTAAATCTGAGGAAAAGAATAAAGCTGAGGCATCCCATTGTCTCTATGAACAAAAAACCAGCAGTACCAACAATATAATTGCTATCCAGGGATCTCCTGAATAAAACAGATCTAGGTTTTGGCTTGTTTTTTCTGCCTGATATGTGAAATATCAGGCAGACAGGAAAAAATTGGTGTGATTGCAAAGTATTTCAGTAAGCCATTTGTAGAAAACCTGCCTCTGTCTGGTAAGAAATTGTTGTCAAAAAGAGTACATTATTTTGCTTATACTGTCCTGTTATGGGCTGCAGGACTATTCCCACTGACCTCACTGGTGTCGATGGCACAGTTTAAATGTGCTCAGCATGGCCTTCCTCCACGTTCCTTAAAGCAATGAGGAGAGTTACATAATCAAAGAAGGGAGCTGGGTCAGGCTAACCTCAGACTATTTGGCAAACCCTCCCCTGAATATTTGTACGTGACTGAAGACAGGGTAACAGGACTTAGGGTGAACCATGATGTCAGGGCATAGGATGTTTACACCTACTCAATATTGCATTGGCAAACTCCAAGCACCAGCTGAAAGTCAGGCTCTGGGTGATCTTGAGCTTCCAAGTTTCATGTGTTTCAAACCTCAAATATTACATGGTTTGCACGAATGAGTCTGATGCCATCAATCACCTTCTATGTTCAGTAGAGAGGCGGTGTGTAGTAGGAAACAGAGAAAGTACAGGAAGCCAGGATAAGTGATCTCAGGTTTGACCCAGCATTTAATAAACCTAATCACAGCTGATCTATTTGGAGCAAGAGTGAATATCTTCGGGCATTTTGATCTTGACTGACAAGCCAACATCACTAATGTGCTGTCTGCAAGCGATGTGCAGCTGCTGTCCTTGGACATGTAACCTGACTGATGTGGCAATCCACTGCTACCAAGTGATACAGAGGGCACTGGGATTTGATTTAGGGGAAAATACAGCTAAGGACATATTGCTTGGCCCCCAGCAGCATGTTACTGTTAGGTTTGTGTCCTAGCTGTACAGCTTTCTGAGAACAATAAAAACCACCCCTAGTGACAGAGGACACAGAGCTTGGCTTCTCCCTTTGCTGCACCTCCAACTGTGCCTGTGATAGAGGACAACACATTTTTCCTTGCTCAGCACCATAGCAGCATGATGTGATCAGAGAAACTGCCCTTCTTGCTGTGCCCAAAAACCCATGTAATGCCTCTCACTGGCACAGGAGACCCAACTGTGAGAGCAGCTCAGATGCCTAACTCTGCAGAACATTATTTTGCCATGCTTAACCTCTCCACAGCCCTAACAGATTGTGATAAAACTAAGGATATTGAGAACTATTTTTCAGGACCTGTCTTTTTAAAAATAGTTTTACCCCCCTTTCCTCCCTCC